TCGAACATGCGCTGCGCAACGACCACCACTTGTTAATAAAGAAAATTTACTAAATATTGCACCAAATTGTTTTTGAGTAAAATGTCTCTCAGAGAGTCAATATTTTGTCATATAGAATATTTTATATGTGTGTTAAGAAATACTGACAATAAATTTAAAAACTTAGGCTAAAACAACAACAACTGTAAAATTGTTTATCCAATCACATCTGTTTACTGGTTACAACACGATGCAATTAGAAAAACTCATATGTCACACTTTTTACTTTCAAACTGTCAAATAAACCACATTTTTAATGTCATATTTAAGTTAAATTAGCTCATAAAATATCATTGATTGACCAGAAATTACCCTGTCTGTGATGTTAAATCCAGGTGCATTGTTTCTGGTTGCCTAGGGGAGCAGTGGTGTACAGTTAGATATGAGAGATCCTCGTTAATCAAATGCCAAGTTCATTGTACTACGACAGAGTATCTGTAACCTTTTCTTTACACCATAATGTTACCGGCTGTACTAGCGCCATACTATGCTCTATATGTTGTCAACATTTGTCTCTCGCATTGGAATGTTTCTGTGTTTTCAGTCAGAACATAGTTACTATAAAAGATCTTTTTTAGTAACTGTGCACAGAGGCATCAGTGTTCTTGCAATTGTGTTCTATACAATGTGTTCCATGCTGTGGTCTTGTAGATTGTACTACGGTCTGTGAAGTCTGGTTTATACTGGCCATTCTAAGGAGATAATCTCAACAATTATTACCTTAGGAAAGAATTTTTGAGGTGTGTAGAGATCAGCTTCAAAATGTTTTAAAACATTTATTGTATTTCTGTATTGTCTAGTTGAAACCAAGATTTGGTATGTCAATTTTTTTCTTGAAGAGTCATTTGTTAAAGTTCTTTTTTGTGTCATTTAATGTTAAGCGAAACTTGTGTCTCCTAACTGGTTTATTGGTCAATTGGTGGTCAAGTGGTCTGTAAACCTTGGTTTTTAATTCATATATTCACATGTATTCTACTATAAAATGTAAAATAGGACCTACAGTGCCCTCAGTCCAGCGATATAATTGTTGGTAAAGTTTTGCCATATTGACTCAATGTTACAAGCTTTGTATTCAGTATCCTATCCATTGTTGTATGTCAAACCCTGTAACGTAGACATAAAGAAGAATGGGGGTTTTATGGAGTTGGTGAGAGATTGTATTCCTAAGGCTATGCCTGTTGTAGCCATTTAATAATAATTGTTCTGATCATATCATAGTATAATGATATAAGGAAACTGACTAAATACTGGAATTTACGTCCAAAAGTAAATTGTTCAGTGAAATTATTAGTGTCCACTATACTCTTGGTATTTTGTCTGACCTTATTAATAGTATAGAACTTTCGAACATATTTTGGCTAAACTACGTGTACCATTTTCAAATTTCATTGTCTTTTCTGTCTGTGACATATTTTGAGAATTTGCATTTAACCAAACTAGCATGCATTAGCAAGAATTTGAGTATTTGTATGGTACTTTGAGTCTGAGAATGGGGCAGGGAATTGGAACAGAGAAGTACCAACTGTCTTACTTTTCTACATGCAACAAAGACCCCTATGAATACTTGCAGAATGTATAAGTACCTGTAGTAGCAATTCAAGAACAGTGATTAGAATACTAACAATAATAACTGCTACTAAAATTTACTTTATAAGTTGTGAAACAAGGTTGAAGTCATTCATTTTAAATATGAAAATATATTTTTGGATGACACTTGGTGTGCATGGAGGGTATTTTGTTGTGTTTATGTTAGTTAGCTGATGCAATGACAAGATCAAGCAGAATCCGATAACGTTGTAGAATGTGTGTAAATATTGGATGCATTATTATACATTTTTCTGATGTAACCACCTGGTGTAAGATGCCCAGAGCTGAACAAAATGGTTAAAATTATTGGAGCTTTCTCGTTTTTTTCCTTTCTTTTTTTTTAAAAGTATCTGCCATCTTTGAAATACCACCTAACCATTCCTGATAGGGAAGAATACAAATACCCCATGCAATTACCCCATGCAATTTTCAGGGGCAGAGTTACATCACAGAACGTCCTACGTGGCTAAGACGAGCACCACTGTACTATGTATTTTTATGGGCTCTGAACGAGCTGCTGTAGAACACCAGTCAAAGCGCCTATGAAAACTGCAAATGTTGACAAAACGGCATCAATTCAAAGGCAATTCTGAATGACATAATTTGTTGCCCATGGAGGGGTAATCTTGTTACACTGTCAGGGTAGTCTCAAACAACCTTTTTTGAGAGTTTGGAACTTTGTTTTTATTGGTTGTGGTTGCCAGGCGGCAAAAATGCCTGGATTTTTGCTCCCGAAAAACAAAAAAATGATGGAACACTGTAAACTATAGAGATAAGATGACAAATATATAATAAGAAACTATATTAAGCAAAATGAAATCATTGTCGACTGATTTTACTTGGATTAGAAAACTCATTTACCTTCTCAACGTTAAATAATGAGATTCTAATAAATTTGTAATGTCTGTTCTGTGTACATCCATCGCTATGGCAACAGTGATGGAATTACTTGTTTTGGGTGGTTTAACTTTCAATAACAAAATTGTGTTCAAACATAAATTGAATTAGTTTCCTAAAAATAGGTTTAATTTATTGAATTTAAATTGCACATTTCATTTTCCAATCACTTTATGTTCTATTTAATTGAATGTTGGCAAATCAAAATATGGAAGTTCAATAGAATTAATAGTAGATTACTATTTATACTTGTGTACATGTTCTAAACTATAATAATGAGTCATTGTTGTTTTTTTACTGATTACCATATTTTCTCTGTTAGGAATGTTCCATTAGAAATTTTTGTGGGTGAGAGATGGGGGTGATAGCAGAAAAACTGTTCAATATTTTTCCCATTATGAATTTTCTGGAATTTTTTCTCCACTGCATCAAATCCTCTCCCCATGGAATTACGCATGTAGACTTTTTTTTATTTATACCTGCAGGTTTTTTTTTTCATAATCTTTTCCTGTGCAATTTTTGTCTACCAATTCAGCAGCCCCCACTCCAGGGTCTACTTCTTAGTAGTTGGTATATACACAGTGTTCTCACTCTCCAGGAAAATAGTTTTACTCTTTAGCCAAGATTAAATATAGTGTACAGAACCTTTACTGTATACCGTATTTGACTGTGTTAGCATCAAGTGACTAATGGGGTGGGCCCTTTGGTGATTGTCACCCCCAAATATTAAAATCATGCAAAAGTAAGGGGTTGGTGCTAACACTTGACTATGAGAACCTTGATGTGTTTCATGTAAAAACAAATATGAAATACTGTAAAAGGGTTAATTATTCACCCAGTGAATATGTAAAACTGAGCATAGAACACGTTATCTAAATGACAAAACCGTGAATTTAAAACCCACTGAATATACCTGTAATGGTAAATCAGTGAAATTTAAACCCAGTGAAAATTAGTCATTTTACAGTAAATGCATTGGAGCAGTGTGATCCATTTATAAGGAATATTTGGTTTATTTAATGAAGTATGGTACATCAGTGAGTTTAATGGTGGTATATACATGTGGTTGGATATATTTGGTAATTGTTGTCCTAAATAACTATGGTATTCAAAATAACGACATTTAGAGCAATGGCGGTTCTTTGGTAGCGCTTAAAAATATTTAATGATGGAGATTTGTACAGTTGCCATATTTAACACTAAAATTGACAGTAATTTAGGAAAATTAGAACGAGTGAATTGCTAGACTAATATAGAGTTGACAAGAAATAATGCTTTAGACTGTAAACAGTTAAAGTGAAATCTTTCTGTCACAATCAATAAACTTGACAACATAATCTCCTCAGACTGAAATGATTGATTGAGAATCAAGTGAAACATTTGATTTGACTTAATATTGGAAACTACAATAAACTGAAGCAATCAGGTGATTACCTTATAAGAAAACCATGGCAACACTTATGTCACCAGATTTACATGCATGCATTTTCAAATTACTGTAAACAGGAAGTAGAGTACATTTCCTCAATGGACTTGTTTTTTATTCTCTTCTGGAGGGAGGGGATGCAAAGTTTCTATCCGAAAAATCAATTTTATTTTTAATGAGTCCTTGTACGTATAAAACTCTTTTTGAAAGATCTCAGCTATAAAAATATTGAGTTGTTTGTATTCTAAAATATTGTTTATTTTAATATTTATTATGTACAAACTGTTTGCTAAAAAAATTAAGTTTTTATTCCTCTATCAATACTTTTTCAAGGTGACAAGTCTATTTTTGGATCTAAATTTTTCTGTCATGATACCAGAGATTCATAAACTTGCCAGACAATTCAACAGGTGTTAATGTTGATTTTTAAACCTTAACCTTTTGAACGTCAAAGTCAACTTTTATCTTTCGTAAAAAAAAAAAATGCATAAGTTTACCATATTTCTTTAAAAAATTGAAACCTGTTGGTGGTGTGAAATTATTTCAATGTTGTCCAAAATAAATAACAAAAATTGCTAAAAATGTTGTACTAAATTTTTTGTGCGCTAAATGATAACATTCAAAAGATTTTTTTTTAATGAAACAGCAACCTTCCAATAAACTTCAAAAAAAAACTGTTATTCTGGAAAACTAAATTGATATGACACTGCTTGCATTTTTTTCCTAGGCTCTAATATAGAACATACATGTGCAAGACATTTATATTTATCAGTATCAATAGTAATTTACTCTAAATTTTCTTGCAGGTCACTTGGATGATATTGGCAGTGAACAGTTATCCAACATGTCTTTAGCAACATCTGCCGTTATGCGGACTGAACCGAAATACGTTATTCAATAAACGTTATTCACATTTGACTTGATTGAAGTGCATGACATTATCAAATTGCTGTTACAGTTCCAGTGGCCGTATCTTCTATGCCTCTCTGACAACTTTGAATAGACTGATTATTATTCAATGCTTGGTAATCGTTAATTTAATGTGAATAGACTAATTCACATAAAAGAAGATACGTCTCCGCACAGAAACATTTAAATCAAGAATAGTTTGGAGTTTCAAAAGATTTGCACTTGACTACAAGGAAATATATTTACAAAAGAAATCGTTTTTTTTCAATTTTAATATTTCTATCTAATTGTTAAAATGAGTAACTTTAATGTTCCCGTTGGTCGTCAACAACGCTCAACTCTTTCCCTCGGTGGTGAGATGACTAATCGGGATAAGATGGAAGCCAATAAATACAAAATGAGTGGACTGATGAGTTTACATCGGAAGAAACAACGCAAACCTGACTCGGCTAAACCAAGACCACAGTAAGTAAATTATTATTTTGCTCACATGCCTGCCATTATCCACAAAACATGATGTATC